CATCATTTTTATTTGTAGGCCTCATAAGTAATGAGTCATGAGTCACCACTCATAACTCAGTTCATAGTTCCTAGATCCTTGGTTGTGAATAGGCTGTTTCTTGGGGTAATCTGACTCACCATCAAGTACTTCACTAAGTACTGAGTACGATTGATCGTATTTACCTGACAGAAGTCAGGCATTTGAGGAATAATAGGTAGTAGCTGCCATCTGAGAAATTTGATACCTGCTGCCGGCATTCCAGATGACTGAGATTATCCCTAGATGACTCTAGGTATTCAAGCACTTATAGTTATTGAAATCATTTTTCAAACAACATTAGAGATACCTAGTGGTACTTGACAAGAGCCTGTCAAACATGCAACCCAGGAATATGAATTGTGCAAACTAGAATTAGTTGTAGAGATTTGGTAAAAATATGTTATATCACAGGGTTTTCAGGGACCATGTTCATAACTTGTAAGGTGGTTATGATTGGGTTAACCAATATATTGAAGGTATTTATATCCATTCCTGGGTCATAGCGCTATAACTTCAAAACTTCATTGGCCCTTATTCCTCTTGTTTTTCCTACCAATATTTCCTTATTCAATTTATTTCACCAATACTTTAAGTGAATTCAACTGTTCTGAAGTTGGATATCGAAACTCAGAGGTTCTGAGATTATATAACAACACACACTGTTTTATATCAAATGATGTTGTTCGTATTCTTTATACTCCTCAATTGTGAAATTATTTCAAACCCACTTTTTTCTTTACTAAGCCAGGGTCTGTTCTTGACGGTTTCATGGAAAGTAACTCTCCACCCTCTTTCCTCCTATCAGAACTTTGAGGAAAAACAGGGAAGTAGCAACCAGCAATCCAGATCCATATAGGATAGAAGTTTGTGCCCCACTTGGAAACTCTGACCACACCCTTATCTCCACAACCTACTCTTTTCATGTAATATCCAGCACCACAATTCCTACCCGTCTTATGTGGCATCATGATTCGGCTGTCTGGGAAGGTCTTCGTATGTTTTTTCAGCATTTTCATGAAGAAGAGTTCGTTTCTCCCTAGCACATTCAACACGATGTGCTGAGACAATTTCTGAAATCATCATGTTGGGAATGCAAACCCTACATACCGGACACCTCAAGGAGAGCATCTTTCGATAGTGCCTGATTCAGTAGCAACTGGTATCATTCCATCGGTGGCAGAAAAATCTAGGCCCTGAGACTAGAACAGAATATGTCGAGGCTAGAGGCATATTCAATGAGACAATTCGATCATCAAGGGATGCTGATAATGCCAGAATAAGATCAAAACAAATGATCTTCTGCCAAAGCTGTAGGAAACAAATTCACTTCCAGCTCGTTTCCTCCTTCAACCAAGGTAGATGGAACACTAGCCACAACTGTCCAGGAGGAAGACAACATTCCTACGCATTGATTCGTTGAAAATCTCACTCTGAATTCATCGAGAAAAAACCTCCGAACAAATCGCCAATTGACAGTCAGATGCGTGAGATCACCTCCCGCCAACGTACTATAAGGAATATTTTATTGGGTCTCAACACCATCAAAGCTTGTGGCTCTGACGGAATCCCATTGATTGTTCTCAATAAATGTGCTTCCAAACTTACACCTTTTTTTTGAAAGTTGTTCGACTACTCTAACAAATTGGGGATATATCTGTCCAACTGGAAGATTGCAATAGTACAACCAGTTCCTGAAAAAGGCAAAATGACCCTACCCAGCAACTACAGACCGATCGCACTGCTATCTATCTGAAAATAGGCAATATGGCTTTCGTCATTAAAGATCAACTAGTGACCTACTTGCTCACGTCTTACATATATAACAGCAATCTATAAAAAAATATGGTGAAACCTCAGCCGTGGTACTCGATATCGCCAAGGCATTCGATCGAGTCAGGCACCACAAACTCCTCGCCAAGCTTCCATCTCATGGCTTGCCTCCCCAGCTATGTTTTCTGCAGATTTTTTTCAAACAGGCCTCTCCATGTAGTGGTCGACAAAGTTTCATCTGAATCTTCCATCATTATAACTGGTGTTCCGCAATTCAATTCTAGCACCAACACTATTTCTACTCCATATCAACGATTTGTTGGAAGCAACTTCATGTCCAGTACACAGCTTCGCGGATGATAGTACCCTCCATACCGCCTTCTCTTCCAGGGATCCAATACCAGCCCAGCAAAGCCGATCCCACTGTGCCCAACATAAGTTTGTCAGGAGTAACAATATCTCTGGAGACATCAATTTCGATGCTTGGTATTACTATCAACAATAACCTATCTTGGAAAAATCACGTGGGATCAATTGCTGAAAGTGTATTCCATGAACTAAGTTTTCTGTTTCCGGCCAGGAGCTATTTTACTTTCAGTCAGCTGCGTATGATCTATGAGGAACAGATCCGACTCGACCTCGAATACTGTTTCTATATTTGGAGTGCAGCACCCAAACATACTCTGACAATGTTACATTCTGTCCAAAAAATGGCAAGTCATCTCGTATGTGATGCCCCGCTCACAAACTCATTCACTTTTCTGGAACACCGTAGGAACGTTCACGTTCTAGCTTCATTTCATGAACATGCTCATGGACGATGCTCTCCTGAATTATCAATAATTGTTTCTCCCTTGGTAGTCCCTGCGAGATTAACTCGTCGGGTTGAGGCTTCGCACCATTTCGTGGTCACTTTGGAGACCTGCGGAACATATAATTCCATAGACTCGTTCATCCAGAAAGGCTCTGGAACACATTGCCAAGGAAGGTGTTTCCCGAGGCATATATTTTCCAGAAATTTGAGACGAACACCAATTCCTACCTCATTTTCCTCGGTTCTCACGATGTTTTCTGAACATTGAAGGATTTCCTTCATTGTGGGAAACAGAAGAAAAGAACGCATGTTCTTATCGGACGAGTCATTACTTCTGAATATGTGCTTCAAAATGGGAATTGGTATGAATTATTGATGGTATGTATCATGTTGGATCAGGTCAGCATATAATCATTTATTGTATCCAGTTTGGTTTCCACATCGAAGAAGGTACAGGTGATGCAATGTTCAATCTTTTCATCATGCCTACCTGAAATTCAATGATGAAGAAACTGCCGCAGCAGTATTTCATGATCTGACAAAACCGTTTGATTTTGTTAACTAGAATATTCTGCCGTTTGAAAAAATATGTGGGGTCAGAGACGAAGATATACAATGGCTTGAGTCATATTTGCCTAGACCGGTCGGCAACCTATTGAAACGGAAGAGCCAAAAGTTTAATTCACAAAATTATTCAGTTTTCAAAGAGCCACTGAAAATATTTTCATTTCAATGTTGTAGTATTTGCTTATACATTTGGTTTGCGATTCATAATAAATCGATTTGAATACCAAATAATTTTTATTCCTATGAAAACACAAATATAAAATAATATCGATATATATCAATGAGAGCATTGGCTTTGCATGCCTTTTGATAGTTTTATCAAATCTGGCTTATAACTTGATGTTGTAAGTTTCAAGCACGACTCAAGATTTTCATTTGTTAGTTGACTTTTAATTTTACTTTTCATTAAATTCATGCAAGAAAACGCTTGCTCGCATGAATATGTTGATCCGAAGATCGTCACACTCCATATGCCAACTTTTTCACCTCACTGTAGCATTCTGGTAGACTATTCCGAATTCGAGGGTCTCAACGTGCGGCATTTTTTCCAGAGCTGTCCACTTGTGCTGCCTGATGTGCATGCATTTCTTGACCTCCGACTCTTTCAACTTACTCTTGAGTTCTGTGAACTTGCCACTCCACAAGTCTTTGGTTTTCAAATCCAACAATTGCATTTGAAGCGATCCAGCATCAATTCCAAGTGGTTCAATGTTGATCTCATTTGTATTTGTGTTGAGAGGATTTACTATAAACGCGAGAGAACTTTTGTTAGATTTGGATTGCTTGAATCTTCCAGCGAATCCATCCTTGATGTTTTTTATAACCATGCTGAAGTAATTCGTGTCAATAGTTGCATTGGTCTCATCGCGATACTTCTTCAGATTTTTAAAATGAATTGAGTTACTGCTCTCCATGTCTTCAACAAAAAGGAGTACTTTTTGTTCGAAACAAACTACTTCTTCAAGTGAAGCGTAGGCTGGGTTGCCCCTTCCCTGCAGTTTTAGATTCAGTTCATTTAGTTTCATTGTGGTATCCACCATGAAGTTGAATCTTTGCAGCCATTTGTCATCTTCCAATTCGGGATGGTCGATGTTTTTTTCATTGAGGAATGTTTTTATTTCACCCAAGATCAAAGCAAAACGTTGTGATACGTTACCTCTGGAAAGCCATCGCACCTTATTGTGCAGAAGTAGGTCAGAATACTGGCTATTTATTTCCTCAAGGAAACCTTTGAACTGGCGATGGTAGAGAGCTTTTGCCAAGATGCTGTTAATGATCTCAATCACCAAGTTCATGACCTCAATTATTTCGGCTGGAAATGTTTGGGCACAAAGCGCTTCTTGATGAATTATACAGTGAAATGTTAGAATTTCGTGGTTAATTTTCTTCTGAAGAATTGATGTTACCCCTCTATGTATTCCTGTCATACTTCTGGCTCCATCAGTTGCTATAGAAACGATTTTATTCATATCGATTCCATTTTTTTCAAGGCATTTTTGTATAGCATTTGCTATATCTTCTCCACGAGTTTGCCCTGAAAGCGGCAGCAATCCTAAAAGTTCTTCTTTTGGACCTTGAGATGACATATACTCGACGGAAAGGGCAACTTGTGCCGTGTCTTTTATATCACAAGACTCATCTATAGCAAGGAAGAAGGCAGATGCCAGTTTAATATCTTCTACTTGCATATGTGTTACAAATTTTAGCAGTTCTATCTTGTACTGTTTTAGCAGATAATGGCAGATCTTTGATTTTTTTCATGATTTCTGCTTTGTTTTTCAAATCACGAAACAGTTCTTCAGATGCAAGTACAAAACAATTTTTGACGTCAGTACTCACCATCTGTGAATGGTTTTCCTCTTCTTGCAATTTCTAATGCTACTGCAAAGCTTGCAAGATTGACATTACTGGAAGATTGCGCCCAGTTAGTTAACATGGAACTGGACTGTAGTTGTTTTTTCTGAAGCTCTTCAACAGCTTTTTTTCGTGCGTTACCAGTTGGATAATTACTAGCAAACTGGGTATGTTTAGTAGTGAAATGTCTCTCCAAATTCGATTTCTTATTGTGTGCGAGCTTTTCATGGCAGATGAGACAAGTCGGAAGGCCATCTGTGTTGCATATGAACGCAAACGACTCCGTCCAATCCTGATTGAACTCTCGGTTCTCTTCTTCAGTTCTCCTCTTTTTTTCACTAGATGCCATGCCAGCGGTGTGACGTTAAAAGAAATTGCGAATAGGCACGCAAAAACCTTAAGCGATTAAATCAACACCCTTAACATCAACCGCGCTATCCAGAGACGACCAGACGACTGACTTGACTTGACTTTGACTCACAAGTTACAACAAGTCGCGACGATGGCGGTGCGGGTGAGACGCGAATGGAATGGAGTTGGCTGAAAGATAAACATGGTCACGGACACTCATCTCTATGAATAAAACAATAGTTCAAATTCATCTCATTACGTCATTGACGATTATGAAAATAGATGCTTCTGAGAAACTGAATACTAGAAAATAAAATTTCTTATTGTTTTAGGGTTTGATAATGAATTAGTATTGTTTGCGTATGGACCTGGAGAGCCGACCCCTGCCTAGACGAACTCAGAATTCCACTCTTTATGATATGTTGTCGAATAAATCGAAATTCATTGGTGGAAGACTTCAAGGGTCAATGCTGACCACAGTTTTTTTCCTGCTGAATTCAGCTACAATTGAATTTGAAAAGAATTCACAAATTCTGCAGATGACACGACTATTTTGTGGTACAATCTGGATTGCAAAAAATCATAAGTGATGATATAACAAGAGTTAAAGATCGGTGTGCCTTCCATATGCTTTTATCGATTATGACGAAAATAAATATCTTCACTTCTCATTGCAACTTGCAGAAAGAATAGTATTCTTATCCTTCCTGAGAAATTCTCTTTCCTGTGCTCGAAGAGGGAAAATGAATCGGTTACAAGATTTCTGGGTCTACTCATTGGATATTAATTGAGATATGGAAGACATATTGACGAATTGAGAAAATAGTGGGTCTCTGGTTATTCTGCTGTGAGAACAGCATTTGTTAGAAATTTCGTGAAGATCAGGCCAAACTGGTATACTTTGCTCTCATCGACTCCCTTTGGAATTGTGGAGTTTGTTTCAGAGGGTCTCGCAGTCAATTTTCATTTGATATAATTAGTTTGTGTTGCAAGAGAAAACAGTAGAGAATTTGTGCGGAAATGAATCTAGAAATTCTTGTGTGCCTCCGTGTCTGAGGAATAGAATATTGACACTACTGTGCATTTTCATTCTGATCCTATATAATTCCCTGTGGATACAAAAATGAGAATTCTTGAAATACGAATCGTCATAACACAAAACAGACTATGAATATATCTGTACCAATACCATTTTCTAGTCAAATCAAAAACTCCTTCTTTCATAATGGAAAAAATTATTCAATCAATTGCCAGACGAGAACAAGAAACTAACTGATTTCAAGAAATTCCAGATTTCTGTAAGGAATATTCAACTGGTAATAGTTTATTTCTTCTACGCTGTTGATCATTCGGAGACAAATTCAATTCCAATTGTCCCTGATCATTAGATGCCAATATATTTTTTAACACAACAGTGCCCCGCAACTGAAGTGAGACACCTAAAATTCCCAGAATATCAACCGATTTTGATTCGATCCACATATTTCAGAAGATCATTCCAATGTCCTGAGAATCATAATATTCAGAAATGGAAAAATGGAACAGTCAATATTCCATACAGTGAGGGTTGCTGGTCTTATTTGTATTTCGTGCAAGAAATTAATTCAAAATATTCTTAGCAGAGCGCTTTCGCCTGTCAAGTCATCATCAGTGCGTACCTGTGAGTGAGTGATCTGCTTTCAGCTATCGGGAAGAAATTGTAATTGAAAATTCAAAAAAAAAATTCGAAAAAATTTTTAATAAAATATTCGGGAAAAAATTATTTTTGAAAAAATCTTTTTGGAAATTTGTTTGATATTGGAAAAGTGGAACAGTAGGAATTTGATAATCTCGACAAGAAACTAAAGAACTTGATGAAACAAAAACAGGATTTTTGGAAAAATAGACAAAGAAACACAAAAAAGTTTTCAGAATTTATATTTCATCAGCGAGTCAAAAATCTTTCTGACATTGTGTTCGAAGATGATGAAATGGACCTGCTCAAGTTGGGCATATAATTTGCTTCGGGATCTCAATTTTCTGAGGGGAAACTCTTGGAGTTTGCAGTAAAAATTGATGTTGTTATCGAGCAGTTATCCAGAGATGGTAATGTCGAAAAGATTATTCGCAATGATGTTCAATACTTCTTGTACAGAGTCGAGATTTCAGTAATTTCAACCACAAACATTTTCATTAAACTCTTTGAAGCAAATCAAGTGTAAGATTAAAGATAACAATCTCATATTTTCAAAAGCTGACAAAGGCAATTGTTCTTAAGAAACATGATTACATAGATAGAGTTGAAACCTTTCTTTCTGAACAAAATTCAAAAAATTCAACTTCTGATCCATTCAATCCTTTCATAAGAAGAATGAAAACCTATATCAATGGGAAAGATTTTCTCGAAGAACATTCTGCTCATTTTTCTTTGATTTCTAGCAACCCAGTCATTTTCCGATTGTATGGACTACCTAAGAACCACAAGATTGATACATCTATCAGCCAGTAGTTAGCTTCACCAATACTGCAGTTTCAATTCTAGCCTCATTCATTCTTAAATCGATAAGAGCACTAACGAATTTCAAACCCACACGTTCGGTAAGTAATACTCTGGATTTAATCAATGAGTTGAATACCTCACATTTACCACTCAACTATTTGATGATTTCTTTTGATGTTAGTAACCTATTCACTTCAGTTCCTGAAATGGAAACTTCACCATTAGTTAAGAAAGCTCTCATTCTTGCTAATGTTGAAAATGAGTGCATTACACATATTTCAACTCTTTTGAATTTTTGTTTATCACAGGATTTTTTTGTATTCAACAACAAATTTTATCAACAACCTGAAGGGCTTGCAATGGGAAGTTGTTTATCCCCTTTTCTAGCAGATATTTTTATGATCAATTTGAAAACAAAATACATTATTACTGACAAAAATCGTGAAATTTTACATTGGTTCAGATATGTTGATGATTGCTTGGTATTTTTGGGTGGTGACATAGGTACTGCTCAGAATCTATTGAATTAAATCAACCAAGTACACCGCATATACATATCCATACGATACTATCTGCGTTACGCAATTGGACCTAATGTTGGGTAAGTTACTCATTCTATAATATACGTAACCGAGAAGTCGAATGGAAGATAAAAACGTTTGCAGTTCTTTCTCAGAGACGGTATTATTGACTCATTTTTCGGAACTATAGCACAAAAAAAGCTATCAACAGTGTATATATATGTGATATATATCCGGGGAAAAAGTAATCACTTTTTTTCCACGGGAAAGAGGTAATTTATGAGAAGTGACATTTTATAACCTGCCAACAGAGATGAAATGCCAAACTTTTTTCACGTCACAGGAAAAACAGAATAATTCGATTGTCGAATGATATTTCACCAAACGGAAGGGGAACTGATAAGAACAGGAAGTCGACGATATTTCAAGCGACTGTCGACGATTTTTCAAGCGACTCTTTGAATCACCTTGTATTTTCATAACTGAAAGATGTCCTGATCGATAAGGGTATATTGTTGAATTTCAAACGCATTCTCACTTCTCAATCACAGGAATCATAAGAATTTTCTATGGTGCTCTTCAAAAAATTATATCTGGTCGAAATCATCAACCTGATTGCATAAAATTCGGAATTAAGTCGAAACATCACATCAGTCTTCAGGATTATGAAGCAGATCATCTGTGTGGCATTACTATGATAATTCACAAATACAAATTAGAACCTTTTAGGATGTCTTGACGGAATGGGATCACTTCGAATTAGATGCGAATTTGCAGTGTGCAAACCAGGGTCCTGTGGAATATGTATTTTTCCATTTTTTCCGTTTTATGGATCCATCAATATGAACACAAAAAAATCAGCTTTCAAAATCAGATACTGGCATCGGTTGATTTCCTATGGATAGTTATGATATCCCAAATATATTAGAAAGTTCCAGGTGTCCCACTTCATTTTCAGGGCACTTCATTTTATATCTCCATATAAGTGTTAATTTGTTTTATTTTGTTATGAATATCTCGAAGTTTTCATTTGGATAATACAACTCTTATGTTTTGAAATTTTCATTCTTGAGTATAATGACTTTTTTTTTGAGAATCTCACTAGAAATGGCTCTGTTCTTGAGAGAACTCTGAATATCGTATTTTTGTTATGGGTTATTTTGTTATTTTTGTTATGGAAATATTGTTTTTCATATAAAGTGACATTCTCAGGGTTATTGATGCCTGCATACTTCTTTCAGACTCACCTGTAATATTGCAAAAATTCCTCATTGTATGAGATTATGTTTATGTCACTGTCATCACCTTAATAATTTTACCTGTGAACACTCGGTAAAAAAAGCTTGAAATATTATGTATAACGACTATCTCTGGCACACTTGACACTTGACAAATATGAATAATCAATTATCCAGTATTCTCTTCATCCATGCTTGTTTTATATTCCCAATTTTATTCCAATCACTAACTGATCATGACCACCTACATTCGTGAAGATTTCCAAAATTTCTTGTTCTATCCTAAATTGTCATAAAATTACAAAGAATCTCACAATATACAGTGTGTTCCATGTGAATGTTCAAAGCCGGATCCAGTTTTGATGATCTCGGAAGTGACCAAACATTGTCGATCTAAATGAAAACCTAGTAGGCGACCTAGTACGCGAGGAGGTACAATATTGTCTGTTCTTTGAATCAAAATCTGTCTGCCTGTCAAGTGGCGCTGGCATCCTGAAAATGGAAAAAGCTCATTTGTTTATGTCAAAATAGACCATATTAGGTTGATATTGTCTTCTTCTATTTTTTTCCAATATGTTAATCAACCACAGATGTGCTTTCCATCATTGACGTGATATTCGATACAAAGGCGATGAAGAAGATTCTTTCATGAGATTGAGATGTCATAATCAAAAAATTATTTTCTGACACACGGGAAAAAAGGAATTGTTGAATCAAGCAAAATGTAATTGAATGAAGCGAATAAAAGTGTCATATATGC